CACTGTAAGCTACATGAGGTCAGAAGCCTTTTCTCTTTTTCCCCCAACCTTTACCAGCTGAACAGAAGCCTTTCTTGCTCATCTTTGTGTCCTCTGATAACAAGAGATAGAATGGGCAGTCAGCTAATATGGTTTAGAGAATGGATAGAGGATGGATGAATGGATGGATAAATGGAAAAAATGATACGTCCTCTGTAAAGTGTTGGACTCCTCTGGGCAGGGCATTATTATTATTATTATTATTGAGATGGAGCTTTGCTCTGTCACCCAGGCTAGAGTACAGTTGTGGGATTTCAGCTCACTGCAACCTCCACCTCCTTGGTTCAAGTGACTCTTCCTGCCTCAGCCTTCAGAGTAGCTGAGATTACAAGTGCATGCCATCCTGCTCAGCTAATTTTTGTATTTTTAGTTAGTCAGGGTTTCGCCATGTTGGCTGGGCTGGTCTTGAACTCCTGGCCTCAAGTGGTCTACCTGCCTCGGACTCCCAAAGTGCTGGGATTACAGGCGTGAGGCACCATGCCCAGCAGGACAATATTTTTATTTTTTATTTTTGAGACAGGGTCTCGCTCTGTTGCCTAGGCTGAAGTGTGGTGGCACCAAACATGGCTCACTGCAGCCTCAAACTCCTGAGCTCAAGCGATCCTCTCACTTCAGCCTCCCAAGTTGCTGGGACTACAGGCCCGACTAATTTTTTATTTTTTGTAGAGATGAGGGTCTCTCTATGTTGCCTGGGCTGGTCTCAAACTCCTGGACTCAAGCCATCCTCCCACCTTTTGGCCTCCCAAAGTGCTAGGATTATAGGAGTGAGCCTCTGTGTCCAATCTGGACAGGGCATTCTTCATCTTTGCTTCATTTGAACTTCATAACGCCTCCTACAAACCTCTACCCAAGCCTTGGATTCCTCAGCCATAAAATGGGGAAGATGATAGTACCTACCTCAGGAGGTTAACACTATTACATGACATAAGCCGTGTAATAGTTTAAATCCATGACAATAGGTTAAGTGTAAATTAGATAATCCACAAAAGTGCTTAAGAACAGGATCTTGCACTTAGTAAGTGCCCAAAAATTACTTAGCTACAGTAATTATTGTGACAATGTATCTTTTCTTTCTGCACGTGTCCCCCAACAAACAGTGAATTCCTCAGGGGCACCGCTCAGCCTGCCAGTCCTTCTCATCTTGGGATACACCATCACTGCCTCGCTAGGTGTTTTCACCCAGGCAGGGCCTAGCTAGGCGTTTTCAGTAAATGTAAAAACAAGTCAATGAAGATCCGGCAGCTGATGAGTTAGGGCATGGCACCCCCCTTCTTCATTCTCAAACCCAGACACACAGCAACACCAACAGCCTCTTACACATTCACACCCACTCACATTCTTTCAAAGAACCCCAAAATGCCACAGAACAGTCACTCAGTTCCTAAAGTCAGTGTCAGCCACACCTGGGTAAAGAGCCTTACCTACACCCTTCCCTGCCCCCTCCATGATCTACCTCAATGGCTGGAATGACTGCTGCTGTCAGAGTGACCCCTCTCACTGCAGGAGTTCCTACAGTAGGGTCATTCCAAAGGGGGGCTGTGGGAGTGACCCTCAACACTCACAGAAGGGGAAGCAAAGCCTGACCTTCAGCCCCCAGCTGGCAGCATCCTAGCTAGAGAGTGCTGCCTGCCCTCTTTACCCGGAAACCCTCCCTCCCTTTCCACTTCTGAAAACCTGAGTCCGGTGGTGAGTCCCATGGTGGCTCATGCCTGTAATCCCAGCACTTTGGGAGGCCGAGGTGGGAGGATCACCTGAGGTCAGGAGTTTGAGACCAGCCTGGCCAACATGGTGAAATCCTGACTGTACCCAAAATACAAAAATTAGCGGGATGTGATAGCACGTGCCTGTAATAGCTAGTTGGGAGGCTGAGGCAGGAGAATCGCTCAAACCTGGGAGGCAGAGGTCACAGTGAGCCGAGATTGCATCATTGCACTCCAGCCTGGGTGACAAGAGTGAAACTCCGTCTCAAAAAGAAAAAAAAAAAATTAAGAAAACCTGAGTCCCTGTTCTTAGCAGGTGGTTGAAGAAGAAGAGGCCTGGGAGCTGGAACTTCAGGGTTCTTCCCTCACTCATCCAGTTCCATCTCTGAACCTGGGAGCCTAGGTCCATTGTCCCCCTCTCCTAGTGCCAAGCACAGCAATCAGTAGGAAGGTGGCAGGACCATGGAGGCCTGGGATGATGAGAGGGCCTTCTTGGCCTTGAGGTGAAATAGTCATATTAGCTAGCATTTATGAGGTGCATAATAAGGGTCAGATACCGAGCCCAGGGCTTTACAACATAATATCTCCTTTAATCCTCACAACCACCCTTTTATTCCAGAGGACACCAGGCGCTGCTGGGTAGGCGGTTTACCTAAAATCACCGGGTGGGATTGTCACACAAGACTTTTTAGTTGTTTTTTGTTTTTTATAGAGACGAGGTTTCACCATGTTGGCCAGGCTGGTCTCGAACTCTTGACCGCAAGCAATTCACCCGCCTCAGCCTCGCAAAGTGCTGGGATTACACGCATGAGACAGGATCTTGCTCTGTCACCTGGCTGGAGTGCAGTGGCGCGATCTTGGCTTATTGTAGCCTTGACCTCCCGGGCTCAAGCGATCCTCCCGCCTCAGCCTCTTGAGTAACTGGGACTACAGGTACGCGCCACCGCGCCCGGCTAATTTTGTGTAGAGCCAGGTTCTCCCTAAGTTGCCCAGGCTCCTTCCGAACTCCTGAGCTCAAGCGATCCTCGGGCCTCAGCCTCCCAAAGTGCTGGGATTACAGGCATGAGTCACCGCGCCTGGCCCGTAGCCAGGTCTTTAATTTCAGAATCTTCAACAGTCCGGCTTTAAAGAATGGGAGGGGCAGCACGACGGATAGGGGGTGCGATTGTCTTCAGGGTTAGGCTGGGAGATGTCCCTCAGGGCAGCACTCGCTCCCCATCAGTCAAGCCCTCATCTCCGGGAAAGAGGGGCGCTGAGAGCAGGGGATGGGGGTGGAGGGGAGGGTGAGGGGGTGGGAGGTGCCTCTTTCAGGGGGCCTAGGCGGAACCGGGGTGGGGCTTGGCGAGCCCAGGGGAGGCGCCGAGCCGGTGGCCCCGGCTCACAGGCCGAGATGGCTGTTAATTAAAGTGCTGGCACCAGCTCCTCTCTGCAAAGTTTGAAGCCGTTATTTTCCACTCCAGCGAAGCGGGGAGAATCCGGCTGGGCTGACGGAGACGCCACACCGCGCCAGGGGAACAGGCGCTCTTTCAGAGCGGGAGGCGGGGCGCCGTTCGGCTGCGAGCGCGCCTCTCGGATGCCCCCGGCCAGCGCGGGGATGGGTGGGCGCTCCCGCCCCTTCCTCGGCCCCGGGCAGCCAGCCTTGGTGTCCCGGGAGGGTTCTGCGAGGGCTGCGGGTGGCGGCGTAGCGGAGGGGGCGGGGCGCGTGCTAGCCTACTAGGGAGAAGGGTGTCCGTGGAAATCCTAGGCTGACGACCGCGCGCGCGCGGCCCTCGGGTCACCAGCCATGTCGCCTCTCTGTGGGGCACACCGAGGAGACCGCCATGGGGAACCGGGAGGCCGGACTGCCTGACAACCGAGCGCTGAAGACTACTCTTCCCGAGCCTAGGGAGGTCTGGCTGCCCTGAGCCCCCTACCTGCGCTTTGGGCAGTAAACGGTACCTAGAGACATCGGGCTGAGGTTGGAAGAGCCTAGAGCCAGGCTACGAGTTTGAATCCCGGCTCTCCTACTTAATAGTTGTGTGACTTTGAGCAAATCACTTAACGTCCCAGAGCCTCAGTTCTCCATCTGTAAAATTAAAATAATGTTGGACTTTACATCTTTGGATTGATGTGAAGATCAAGGGGGCCTAGCAGAGTAAACCCTGAATAAATGCTACTTACTGAATTTTTTTAGCTCCCTCCTTGGTGGTGGTGGGGACACTCTAACCTGGCCTCAGCCATCAGTGCTTGGAGGATCCTCCCTCACAGCCCCCCAACTGGATGTCCCCGTGTCCCCCTCTCCTCCCTGCCTGGATGAGGTTAGCGACCTCAACCTTGGGTAGGGAAGTCCAGGGAATCATTTTGCCCATGGTGACAGATCAGTGTGAGCTGAGAGGGACCTCTCAGGAGAGGAGAAGATGGGATGTCATTCTTTAGCGGCAGGCCAGGAGCCTCCCCGGTGGGCCGGATAAAGAAGGGTGAAGGAGGAGCAGTGGTGCGAACTGAGCTGGGCCTCAGATAATGTGACAAATATTTTGATGGAAGCAGACACGTTTCGGTTTATGCAACCTAAACACTTTGCTGCACTTGAGGAAGAGGAGAGCCTCCCACAGCCTGACAGGGAGAAGAGTTAGGGGACGGCAGAGGAGGCCGAGGGGTGAGGGAGGAGGAGCTGAGGGGCTGGATGAGATCCACCCCTCCTCCTGGAGGCTGGAAAAGGGGGGGTCACCTTCCAGGGACGTATTTGCATCTGTCAGCATGGAGAAATAACATGGGGTGCCCACCTTTTTAGGATCCCCTTTTTCTCCCTGGTCTAGAGGCAGAGAGAAAGAAATTGAGCAGAGGGAGATGGAAGAAAAGGGCCTAGGAAAAAGCAGCCTGGCGACAGTTCGGTGAGGAAAGGGCAGAGGCGAGGAGGGGGTTGAAGCGACTACCACTTGCCTGGGAAAGCGGGACCCAGAACAGTCAGAGCCAGAGAAGAGGAGGCGGCTGCCCTCAGGACTCGGGCTCCGCTGGGCCCCTGGACAGGTATTCATCCGATCCCGGATCACCCAGACGGGTGGTCTGCGAGGCCTGAGTGCCAAATGGTCCCTCCATATCCTCTTCCCGTCATAACCCCTTTCTCATCTTACCTTCCCGCTACCCGCTCCGTCCTCCCCTCAATCGCTCTCTTTGAGCCCTGCAGGCCGGGGAGCTACCCTTTCGGTTCCGCCCCCTGCGAGTCTTGGCCTGTGGCGACCCCCGTCCCTCAGTTTTCCTAGTGACCGACCCTCGAGGCCTCTCCTCTCTGGATCCCCCTCGGCGCTCTCTAGCTCTCCCCGTGGCCTTCTCTCCTGTTCGCTCTTTGGTCCCCACTCTCCCTTTCCCTCGGAACGTCTCTCGGGTCTCTCGGACTTCAGCCCCCACCCCATTTCCAAGTCTCCGTCTCCGCGTCCTCAGTCTACCGTTTCCTATCCCAGCTCCCGCCGGTGGCCCCGCGGCCCCGCCCCCTTCTTCCCCGCCCACCTCGAGGCGCCCGCGGCCCAATTAGGCGCCGGCCCCGCCCTCAGCCCCACCCCTCGTGCGCCCGGAGCCTCGCGGAGCGGCCGGGGCGGGGCCCGTCCGAGGGGGCGGTGGCCCGCGCGCGAGGAGGCGGGAGGAGCCAGGCGGGAGGCGGGAGGCTGGAGGCGGGAGGCGGCTGCCGCGGCGCTCAGTCCGGCAGCGCAGCAGGAGGGAGGCACGAGGCCAGAGCCGGCGGCTGGGCTCCGCAGCGCAACCAGCGCAGCGCGGCGCCCCGGGCCTGGCCCCATGCCCGCAGCCTCGCCGGACCGCCCTTGAGCGCGGGCGCCTAGCTCGCGCCCCCCGCCCGCCGGCACCATTGCCCCGACGGCGCGGCCGGGCGGCCCGGCGCTCCCCAGGCTCCGCGCGGGCCGGAAGACGCTGCTAGCGGCCGCCGCGGGCGTGGTGATGCTGCTGGTGCTGGTGGTGCTCATCCCGGTCCTGGTGAGCTCGGGCGGCCCGGACGGCCACTATGAGATGCTGGGCACCTGCCGCATGGTGTGCGACCCCTACCCCGCGCGGGGCCCCGGCGCCGGCGCGCGGCCCGACGGCGGCGACGCCCTGAGCGAGCAGGGCGGCGCACCCCCGCCTTCCACGCTGGTGCAGGGCCCCCAGGGGAAGCCGGGCCGCACCGGCAAGCCCGGCCCTCCGGGGCCCCCCGGGGACCCAGGCCCTCCTGGCCCTGTGGGGCCGCCGGGGGAGAAAGGTGAGCCAGGCAAGCCGGGCCCTCCGGGGCTGCCGGGAGCGGGGGGCAGCGGCGCCATCAGCACAGCCACCTACACCACGGTGCCGCGCGTGGCCTTCTACGCCGGCCTCAAGAACCCCCACGAGGGTTACGAGGTGCTGAAATTTGACGACGTGGTCACCAACCTAGGCAACAACTACGACGCTGCCAGCGGCAAGTTTACGTGCAACATTCCCGGCACCTACTTTTTCACCTACCATGTCCTCATGCGCGGCGGCGACGGCACCAGTATGTGGGCGGATCTCTGCAAGAACGGCCAGGTGGGCCAGGCGGGGCATGGGGCTGGCCTGGGGGCAGGGTACCCAGGGAGCCCGGGGCAAATGGGTACCTGATCGGAGTTGTCGGGGGGCACCAGGCGGATGCAGGTGGAGACCCCACCCCACAGCGTCCGGCTTAGGCGTCACGTGTGGGAATGATCGGAGCCAGCGGACACCTCCGATCCTCAGTTCCTGGGTCCCCGCTCCGAGACAGACGCTGCTGGGCACCTTCTGGAACGTTGCTGGAAATTCAGGAAATAAACCCAACTAGACAGCGCGCAGGGCTCCCAGGTGCACCGACTTGCCCTTGGGGGCTTGCCCCTTGGGAAGTAAATTCAGGCCGACACCAACCTGCGATAAGGGAGGGCAAGGATGGGCTCTGGCGCATGGAATAGGGAGCAACAGCATCCTCGCCTGCACCCGCGGGAGCCTAGGCGCGTGGCCTTGCGTGCACGCGAAGGAGGCCGGCTGCAGGAAATGTTTAGGGTACAAAGGCAAAGAGAGCCCGGTGCTTAGAGCCTTGGCTGCAGTGCGTCCCCTGTCCCCTGCCCTCGAGAAGGGACCACTGTGGGGATTGACATCCTTGGCAAAATCCGGCAGTTGGGGAGCTCTTTCCCTCTGTGGCAGAGCTACCCAGAACAAGAAGGCAGCCTTGGGGGCACGGGGGTTTTTCCCTCTGAGGCTGGGGGAAGAGATGGAAACTCACCCTCCTCTTGGTCTCCCAGTTCCAGCCCCTCCTGACTCTGGAGTCCGTGAGATCTTCTCCATTCCCTGTTCCCATCCCAGACGCTGGAGCTGGAAAGCACAGAGTGTGCCAGGGACTCTAGTACAGGGACTCTGGTACCGGGACTTGCATGTGCACATAGCTCTCCTTAGAATGGCCAACCCCTGCACATAGCTCTCCTTAGAATGGCCAACCCCAGGACTAACCTCCACCCAGCCCTGCCCCAGGGTTACAACTTTAGGCAGCTCTCTTGATAATACCTCCCTCCCCAGTAGTGGCCTGGTGCCTGGAAGTGTGGTCGGGCTGAGCATTGTCTTGGAAGAAGGGGACCCCTGGTCTGAACTAAAGCTGAGCTAGTGGAAGTTGAGAAGGGATCTCCCACGATTGAGAAGCAAGACCTTGTTGGAACCCTTCCCAAGGCAGCACTGCCCTGAGGCTCTGCCAGCCTGTGGGTCTGCAAGTCTTGGGGGCAGGGCAGGCAGGAAAAGTGAGCAGAAAGTCTGCCATGTGCTTATAAGGCAGCCCCTCTTCTCTTTCCTCTGCCTGGCTGCTCCCCTCCCCACCCCCCAACACCTTTCCTCTGGTTTCTGCCTCTCCCCTGCCTCTTCTATTTTTCTGTTTCTTGTTCATCTCTCTCCTGTGTCTGCCTTTTCCATCTGTCCCTGGATTTCTGGCCTCTTCTCCCTGGGTCTAACCCCACTCCCCTATTTCTTGTATGTCTCTCTCTCCCACTTTTGTCTATCAGGCATCCCTGTGTCTTTCCTCTTTGTCCTTGGTTTCTGATCAAATGGGAGGCCCCAGTATCCAGCAAAGGCTTATTCTGCAGACAGCCCCATGATTCCCCCTATTAATCACCAATAAGGGATGCAGCAATGTCACCTTCATCAGTGGAATGTCTTCCTTCCCCAAAGAAGTTTGGGCTGACACAGAACTGAGATTTCAGGGGGTTAGGGGCTTGCCTGGATAGGGAGACAGTCACTGGGCTACAAGTTGGCTCTAGACCCTGTACCACCTCAGGAGGTCCCAACATGTCCCCAGAGATGAGGCAAGAGGAGGCCTCAGAGATGCTGTGTGCTTAGAGTGGGGAACTTGCTTCAGTCGCTGGGAGGTAAAACCATCTAAAAAGCGCCTTTTCCTTCCAGCAGGGGCAGGATGTTGACAGAATCTGATGAAAGGGTGCTCACTGGAGATGGGACCACAGGCTAGTAGGAAAAAAGGAGGTGGCTTTAACTACAGGTTTCAAAGACTCAGCAGTTTGATAGTTACTCAGACCAGCCCCCTCTAAAGAAAACCAGGAGAGGCCAGGTGCAGTGGCTCATGTTTGTAATCCCAGCACTTTGGGAGGCCAAAATAGGCAGATCAACTGAGGTCAGGGGTTCAAGACCAGACTGGCCAACATGGTGAAACCCTGACTCTACTAAAAATACAAAAATTAGCCGGGTGTGATGGCACGTGCCTGTAATCTCAGCTATTCGGGAGACTGAGGCAAGAGAATCACTTGAACCCAGGAGGTGGCAGTTGCAACGAGCTGAGATCTCACCATGGCACTCCAGCCTGGGCAACAGAGTGAGACTCTCTCAAAAAAAAAAAAAAAAAAAGAAAGAAAGAAAGGAAAGAAAACCAGGAGAAATAGTGGGGCCTATAGCCCCCTCCCCCATGGCCTTTATGACTTCTTTCAAATTGCCCAAGAGACTCATTTGATCTCACTAGCCATCCCACTTGTTAGTTTTGAGCCCCTACTAGGAGCCAGGTTTGAGGCTTCGTGGTTCAATCCACTTGCCCTCCAAGACCTCACGGCCTATGCAGGGGGAACAGTTGCAACATACAAGGAACAGTTGCAACATACAACCACACACCCCAACGAATACTGTCTTAAAGGTGGGCTGGGAGCCCAACTGATGACTTCGGTCCCCAAATGTATTGGCTGGGAGGGAGTGTATCAGTAGGGCCTACCCTGCCACAGACCAACCTGATATGTGGGAGAAGATGGTGAACCTTGGTCCCCAAGGTGAGGAGATACTTAGGGAGAAAATAAAAGGTCAAGTGTAGGAAAAAGTGGCTCAGAGGTGGACAAGGACATTTAAATAAGCAGAGAAAAAAATGGCAGGACCAGCCAATGGATGGGAACAAAAGAGAGAAGCTTGTACCTCCCATGACTTCAGAACCAGGGGCCACCCTGAGCACTGTGCTTTTCCTTCCTGGCTTCCTACCTACAGAGAGGATTCCAGAATTTCTTTGGGGAGGCAGAGCTGAATCTGGGCTCTGTCTCTACTCCGGGCAAGTTCAGGATGGAGATCACCATCTTCAAGCCTGGCACTGAGGCTCCCTCAGTCCTTATCTGAGGTCCACTGACCCCTGTCCTTAGGGGTAGCCTTGAGTCAACACCTCTGATGGCACCAAGCCCTGGCTGTTAGGATACAAGGAGCCTGGGGAAGGGCTCCGAGTTGGTGGTGGAGCCCTGGGTGTAGTGAGTTGCCTGCAGCTGCCTGCAAGATCCACAGTTCAGGTGGGTCAGAGAAGACACAAAATTAATAAACTGGGCAGGAGGGCTTTGTGAGGAGGTGCCAGGGCTTGTGGTCATGGTGTTGCTTATCCAAGGGAGGAGGGTGTGAGTATCCCCAATGCACAAGGGGTTTGACAACAGAGTCTGACTGCAGGGAGAAGAGTTGGTGTATATAAATTGAAGGTGGCGGTATAAAGACCTAAGGAGGCATGGTGCCTCATGCCTATAATCTCAGCACTTTGGGAGGCCAAGGCAGGCAGATTATAGGAGGTCAGAAGTTCAAGACCAGCCTATCCAATATGGTGAAACCCTGTCTCTACTAAAAATACAAAAACAAAAAAAAAAAGCCAGATGTGATGGTGGGTGCCTGTACTTTCAGCTATTCAGGAGGCTGAGGTAAACCTCTGGGAAGCAGAGGTTGCAGTGAGCCAAGATCGTGCCACTGTACTCTATCCTGGGCAACAGAGCGAGACCCTATCTCAAAAAAGAAAACCCCTGGTGGTGGCAGATGGCCCCCTGGCTATCCTCTCTGGCCCCCTAATACCTTTCACAACACAGAGCAGAGTGCCTGGCACAGTGCCAGCACAGTAAATATGTGAACCCAAGTGTCCTCCATGGGCCAGGCTGGCTCCCCTGTGGGAGCCACATCTGCACACCTAAGTCCCCAGCATTGATCTGAGGGCAGATCAATGTTTCCTGGATACCCCCTCACCCAGTTCCCTTGGTCAGACCATTGCCTCAGTTTCCTCTTCTGGCAGCCATAAGGAACTCATTCTACAGCGCTCCCTCATGACAAGGCCCAGACCTGCTTTCCTGCTTCCTTGGCACCCTCAATTCCCCACACTTCCCCTTGGATCCCAGGAGGAGCTGCAGGCCTCAACTTTCTCAGGCAGAGAATTGGGACCCCTGGGTTCCATTCCTGGATCCCTTACCATTTGAGGATGGAAGGGCATAAATTCTCTCTGCCTCCATGGATAATTAGGATAATTACGGCAACAGTCATGGTGATGAATAAATAATAAACATAAGCATAACAGTTCTGATGCAGTCACATCACCAGGAGATTCCTGATGACAGATGACTCTGTTCCAGTGGATTTGGCTATTAAGGAGCACGCTGTTTTAATGAGTTAAGGCTAAATTAATCTGGGCAATAAAAATAATTGTTATTAGTAGTAATTTATTAGCAAAGATAATGAAATGCATGTGTAATAATAAATACTACCAGGATTAGTGCTCAGGGAACAATACAGAAGTTGGCTGCTTGCTTTCAGCTCTTCCCTAATAGCTCAAAGCACCATCAAGAACAAAACTTTTTTTTCTACACCATCAAAAGACTTTACAGAGGTGGCAGTGGTGAGGCAACATCTTCTCATCCATTTTCTAGACAGAGAAACTGAGCTCCTTTGCAGACAGCACCTCACTTATCCCCCCCAACCTTGAACTAGACCAGTGTTCTCAGCTAAGCACACACACAGTTTCTTCTCAAGTTGGGGAACAAGAGGCTGAGGGAAGAGAAGGGGCTGGAGATGGGTTTTAAACGGAGGCCCACATGCAAATATGTCCAGTCCTCTTCATTGCAGCATTGTGGCTGAGTCAGCAGCTCTGGCATAGCTGACCTGAAGTGCTGCCTCCAGCCCAGGAGAGAGGATGGGTCCCTCCCCTAATTTGGCTGGATTCTACCAGACTTCAGCCCTGGGGGTTGGGATGGTAAGCTGCCTTCAGAGAAGGGACAGGATAGAGAGGAGCCGTGGAGAAACCTGGCTGAGAGGACCCCACTCAGTGCAGCCTCCCCTTACCACAACCCATGGTCCTGGAGAGGGCTCTTCTCCTCCAGGTCTCTACCCAGGATACCCTGGAGAGGCCCCATCTTCCCACTCAGGCCTTGTGTTTCCATAGCTGTTAGAAGAATGTCTGTAGATCATTTGTTCACCACCATACAATCTTTTTTTCTCTCTCTCTCTCTCTTTCTCTCTCTCTCTCTCTCTCTCTCTCTCTTCTCTCTCTCTCTCTCTCTCTCTCTCCTCTCCTCTCTCTCTCTCCTCTCTCTCTCCTCTCTCTCTCTCCTCCTCCTCTCTCCTCTCTCTCTCCTCTCTCTCTCTCTCCTCTCTCTCTCTCCTCTCTCTTTTTTTGAGACTGAGTCTCCCTCTGTCTCCCTGGCTGTAGTGCAATGGTGCGGTCTTGGCTCACTGCAGCCTCTGTCTCCTGGGTTCAAGTGATTCTCCTGCCTCAGCCTCCCGAGAAGCTGGGATTACAGGTGTGTGCCACTATGCCTGGCTAATTTATGTATTTTTAGTAGAGACAGGGGTCTCATCAAGTTGGCCAGGCTGGTGTCGAACTCCTGAGCTCAAATGATCCACTCTCCCAAAGTGCTGGGATTACAGGCGTGAGCCACCACACAATCTCTTATGATTACAGTCAGAGCCCCCAATAGTGACAGCAGGCTCCAAGCCCAAATACTGGTACTCCCTTGACCCATTATCCTGCCTGTCCCTCCCCATCTCCCATCCAGGCAGGGACTAGCAAGGATGTCACATCAGACTGAGAATCCCAGAGAGAAGTAAGGCCTGGATTCCCTTTTTCCCACCCACTTCCTTTCTACCACCCTGGGGTGAGGCAGGAGGGGCTACAAGTCCTCTTTGGGTAGGTAGTGACAGTATCTAGCTACAGCTTCATGGAGGCTGGCACCCAGGCCCCTTCTAAATGCTGGGAGGCCTTGTGTCTGGCCATGCTTTCCATCTGGCACTGCTGCAGCATGAGAGACTCCACGATGCACCTCAGACCAAAGACCTGGCCCTGGTTCCAGGGTGGTTGCTGACTGGCAGCCTGGCATTGGTCCAGCCGCCTCACCTGTGGGGCCAAGGTGTGCCCTTGTGTCCATCCACTGGCATAAGATCCAGTAGGTGTGGCTGAAGCGATGGCATCATAATGAAAGCAGAGAGAAAGGAATGATGAGAGAAGGGAAGGCCCTCCATCCCCTGGAGGTCTAGAGAATTCCTCTTTTCAAGGAAAGGCTTCCAGGCTTCCTGGAGGTATTGAGGTTCTTGCCAGCGGGATGGAAAGCCCCACAGGAGTTAAGGAGGAAGACTCTGCCTTGACTCCCATTCAGGCCCAGATCAGACCTGCCCTAGAAATCCAGGGCTCCTCTCTGCTCCTCTCCTGAAACAAGTTATGTATGATTGGAAGGGAGCCAGGTTTCAGGGTCCGCTGATCCTCCCCATGGGACTGCCTCACCTCCCTCCCTTCTCCTCCTCCTTCCCCTCGCCATCCCTCCTGTGTCCCCGACCCGCAGGTGCGGGCCAGTGCTATTGCCCAGGACGCAGACCAGAACTACGACTATGCCAGCAACAGCGTGATCCTGCACCTGGACGCCGGCGACGAGGTCTTTATCAAGCTCGACGGAGGCAAAGCGCACGGCGGCAACAGCAACAAATACAGCACGTTCTCCGGCTTCATCATCTACTCCGACTGAGCCCCCCACATCTCCCTCCACCCACGTCCCTCACCCCCTGGGGTCCCCTCCGGGTGGGGCAGGGGATGACCTGTCCACCCACCCGCTCGCCGCCTGGCCCTCCCCAGCTATGACGCCCCTGGCCCGTGCTCACCACCGCCTGGGCCACAGCTAGGCCCTCCCGCCGGCTTGCTGCTGAGCTGGGTCCAGCGCATAACGCACCCGGTCCCAGTCCCGCGGGAGCCAGGGTTGACCGCACCCGCCCGGCCCGCACTGTATATTTGTACAATAGGACTGTTTACTGCCCACCCCGCCTGCCAGCCCGCCCCTGCCTGGGGAGAGTTCTCAGCGGCGGCGGGGTTGCTTCCTGCGCTCTGAGGTGAGCTGCCCTTGGCCCCCTCCGGGGTGGAGAGCCCGGGGAAGCGGGGAGTTGGGGGCTGGATAGCTTCCCAGCACCTCAGAGCCCCCGCCCGGCTGTGCCCCGTCTGACCAAAGCTATAATAAAAACATTTCCACCCTGCGGGGGTTTCAGTCTGTGCCCTGGGGTGGGCTGCAGGTGGGGCCGAGGACCGTGCCCTCCTGCAGATTGGGAAGGGGTCTGGTGGAAGTTTCTAGGGGAAACCAGGTGCCAGAGCCAGAGTTGCTCCAGGAGGACGTTGCCAAAGGGCTCGATGCCCACCACAGCCCAAGTGGGTCTGGGCAGCTGGGAGGGGAAGCAGCCCAGTTACTTCACCATCTTCCATGGTGGACAAGTACCATTTTTGCCTTGCTGAAAGTGGCATCCGCATTCCACAGGTACAGGTGATCTTTAAACTAGGAGACCTGGGTCCTGCCCTGGGCCACCGTGTATGATCCTGGGCAAGTCACTTCTCTCAACTCAAGTTGGGATTAGTGACAGCCATAGAAAGGAACATTCTTTGGACTAAAGGCTGGTTGACCTTGGTCTATGCACTTGACCTCTGTGCCTCAGTTTTCTCATCAATAAACATTGGTAAGGAGACCTACTTCACTTGACTGAGAATTAGAGGTACATTTTTATGTGCTCAACAAACATAGCTTTTACTATTTATATATAACTGTTGCAAAAGGCTTTCAAGTATGTCATCTCAAGTTTTCCAAACAGCCCTGAGAGGTTGGACATAGATTTTGTTTTTGCAGGGAGATTAAATATGTTGCTTACACAGTTTCTAAGTTCTGTGATTGCACTTGAAAATCCAAGACATGACCAGGCACAGTGGCTCACACTTGTAATCCCAGCACTTTGAGAGGCTGAGGCAGGAAGATCACTCGAGGTTAGGAGTTTGAGAACAGCCTAGCCAAGATGGTGAAACCCTGTCTGTACTAAAAATACAAAAATTAGCTGGGCATGGTGGCAGGTGCCTGTAATCCCAGCCACTTGGGAGGCTGAGGCAAGAGAATCGTTGGAACCTGGGAGGTGGAGGTTGCAGTGAGCCGAGATCTCACCACTGCACTCCAGCCTGGGTGACAGAACAAGACTCCAGCAAGCAAACAAAGGGAAAGAAAGAAAGAAGAATGAAAGAGAAAGAGAAAGAAAGAGGAAGGAAGGAAGAAAGAAAAGAGAGAGAGGGAGGAAGGAAGGAGAGGGAGGAAGGAAGGAGAGAGAAAGAAAATCCAAGACATAACCAAGTCCCCTTACCCCACCACTGCTATCCCCACTTCCTGTAACTGGGGGCTGTGTCACACGGCATTTCTGGATAACAACAGCTAATATTGAGAGAGCACCCACTATATGTCAGGTACTATGTAGGAACTTTATAAATATTATCTCGTGGATATGTGTGCGGGGCTGGTCAGTAGATCTATAGGAAATGATCTCATGCCCTTTAAAATTATGCTGTTATTTTATCCATTTTAGGTGGGGAAACTGAGGCTCAGAGAGGCTAAGCAGCTTGCCAAGATCACAGTTAAAAACAGCTAAATGCTAGTTTTAAACCAAAGACCATACTCTTACCAGGTACACCATATTTCATAGGGTTGGGATCTTGAAAGCAGTTCTGAGGATGGCACCGGGGCAGCCTGAACCCAGCCCTTCCACTCCCACCCCAGCCCTGCAGGGGCCTGATGGATTTACAAGCATCTGCCCTGGGCAGCAGCCATGGGGTGAGCCTCTTGGAGAATCCCAAGGCTCTACATTGAGGAAAGGTCCCATCTGGCCTCCCCTCCCCAGTCTAGCTCAGCTGGAGAGACAGGAAGGAGGGGTGGCCTCCCTCCCAGCCAGGCTTCATGTATAGACCCTTGTCATGGCTGGCAGACTTGAATGACTTTCTTTATCTTCCCTACTTCCCCCACTGCCAGCTGTGGCCATTTAATAAAATTAGCTTAATGCTTGTTCCTTCCCTGTGGGGTCTGGAGATTAAAATCTGCGGGTCCCCACAAACCCAATAAAACCCCTGGCAGGTCTGGCTGGAATGAGAGTCTCGGTGGGGAAAGTGATTAGATTAGAAGGCACTCCTCTGGCCCCCCAGTGCTGCCCACAGCCCAGGGTTCTCTAATGACCATTCAGGCCTGGAATTACTCAGCCACCACACCTTAGGGGCTCCCCGCCCTTCCCAGAGGCCACCGGACTGATCCATGACCTCCGTTACAAGAAAAGGCATGTTAATCTTTTCTGTAGTACGTGCTGTCTTGCTGGCTGGCCAGCCTGCTTTCTTTCCTTTCTGGCGATTTGACAATCCTCATGTTATTTTGAGAGTTGGGGCTAACATCTTCATTTTGTAGGTGAGGAAACCATAGTCTGAAGAAGATTTGTGACTTGCCCACGGTCATGCAGTAAGGTGGTGGCACAGCTGGGGCTGGACTGAAGCCAAGGACTTTTTTGAGCTTTGAAGGGCACCAGAAGTGTCCTGCAGTGCCAGCTTGCCAGCTGCTTGTCACTCAGCCCACATCCCAGCTGCAGGGGAACCTTGTAGGGAAATGCTTCCCATCAAACTGGGGCTCCTCAAGGGCAAAGTCTATCTTTTTTCCTCAGACGTGGGACCCCTGAGGGCAAGGATTGTCTCCACCATCAATTTGGGAAGTGTCCTAAAGGTAGGACAAATATCTCCTCCATCAGACTAGAGGGCCTCAAAGACAAAGATTGTGTTTTCTCTTCAAATTATCAGCTCCTTGAGCCTGGGGTGTGTATCTCCATCAAGACCAGGGATTTGGGGATTTCTAGATGCAAAGACTGGTTTCCATGTGCAGTTCTGAGGGGTAGACATTGCTTTTTCTTTTTCTTTTCTTTCTTTCTTTTTTTATTTTTTTGAGACAGAGTCTCACTCTGTTGCCTGGCTTGAGTACAGTGGCAAGGCCTCCCAAGTAGCTGGGACTACAGGCACACACCACCGCACCCAGCTAATTTTTGTATTTTTAGTAGAATTGGGGATTCACTGTGTTGGCCAGGATGGTCTTGATCTCTTGCCCTTGTGATGTGCCCACCCTGGCCTCTGAAACTGCTGTGATTACAGGCGTGAGCCACCGCGCCCAGCCCCCCCTTCTTCTATTAAACTAGAACTTTCTGAGAAAGGGACAGTCTCCACCCCTAGACTGGGGGTTGCCTGAAGGAGAGACTGTCTTCTTATCTAACTGTGGGCTCTCTGAGAGCAGAGGCTGTGTCTGTCTTTTCTAGTGGGGTTCCCTGAAAGCAGGGCATGTGTCTCCCCCTTTTTCAGTCAGGGTTTTTTCTGGCACAGGAACATTCCAGGAAGCAGGGCTGTGTGGGTGGTGAGAAGAAGCTGGACAGTCAGAATGGCATGTCCACTTTGGAGGAGAAGCAACAAACCTCCCCCGGCTGCCTCCCCTTTCGGAAGATGTGTGATTAATTAATGAATAATGTCCCTGCCAGGAGGAGTGTGAGGATGGAGGTGCCCCTGGAGTTCTCCCACACAAGAAATGGCAGGTCATCCTGTGCCCAGGCAGCTACCAGCCCTAGGAGCTGGTGCTGCTCTGGTTTCTAGGGTTATGGGACCAGAGGGGGGGGCAGTGGACCCACTGCTGGGGGCTGCCCTAATTGGATGACTTTGCAGGAAGGCCAGGCAGGTGTGCCCGGCTCTCCACTTCAGCTTGCTACAGACACATCTGCCATGGTGAGGTCTGAGGGTTAATTGCCTCCCGCCTCACTCTTGGTAACCAATATTTCATTTACCGCTTAGAGGGGGAGCTGCCCAGAGAATCAATCGTGGACAAGCATCCAGGAGACAGGGGAGCTGGGGAAACCCAGGAGCTGTTTTCTGGAGAAGCTCTGAGCACCAGAGGAGGAGGCAGGAGGTGGAGACCCAGAGAAGGCGGCCAATTGCTGAAAGCTGCTCTAGGCCTTGTCTGAGTTCTGCTGACCCTGACAGCAGCTCCAGGACCCCTAAGGGCTAGGAGAAAGTTCCAGGGGTCCAGAGGCCACACCACCCCAGCTAGCTGTGTTGTTGCCCATGCCCTGGTTCCTTCTGCAATTATTTATGTGGGTGCCCCCCAGACAAAACTGTAGAAGGTTAGATGCTGTTAATAAGGTTATTTTCACACGTGATGATGGTATATTTGAAAAGCGGAACTGGAGGTGTGAGTTCTTAGAATCCTACAAATGAGGTGATAATAAAGTGGAAGTGAAAAGTCTACACGTTTGGAACCGAAAGGGGTTGGAAGGGATACTGAGAAGGGGCAGCTAGGACTGGGGGACGAAGGGGCCAGAGGGCTACCTACCCCATGCTCTCCATTCATTTGTGCCATCTGCCAAAATTGCGAATCAACGCCACAGAATGGCCACTCCCATTACGCAGCTAGAAACACTAAGACCCAGAGAGGAAGCCAAAGTTGACTTGGTTGGCTCAGGGCAGAGCTAAAAAAGGAGTTAGCAGGACCCAGTGGACACACAGGAAGTGAAGACAGAAGAACTGGGTTCAGCCAGGCACAGTGGCTCACACCCGTAATCCCAGAACTTTGGGAGGCCAAGGCGGGTGGATCACTTGAGGTCAGGAGTTTGAGACCAGACTGGCCAACATGGTGAAACCCCCGTCTCTACTAAAAAGACAAAAATTAGCCAGACATGGTGGTGCATGCCTGTGATTCCAGCTACTCAGGAGGCTGAGGCAGGAGAATCACTTGAACTTGGGAGGTGGAGGTTACAGTGAGCCAAGATTGCACCACTGTCCTCCAGCCTGGACAACAGAGTGAGACTCCATCTCAAGAAAAAAAAGAATTGAGTTCAAGCCCTCATCATGCTCAGTGTTTCAGGAAAAGACACTTTAATCTCTGTGAGCCTCAGTTTCCCCTTCTACAAAATGGGGATGGATAATTAAATTATCTACTTGAAGGCCTGCTTGTGGGGCAGCAGATGAGAACCTGTTTTGGAAGTAACCAAGCACAATGCAACTGCATTTCATTAGTACAACCTAAGTTTCCTGAGCCCCAGGATTTAAAGTTCTTTTAACTGCACTTCAATGCTGGGATGGAGATGATGATCATAGAACACACCTAGGTTGTTCTCCTACTCTGAATCTCATCCCAAAGTGAGTGTAGGGCACTAGGGGAGGTT